TGACCAAGTCAAATAGGAAAAAACACCTAAACTAAGTCTTCTCAGTGCAGTCCTTAAGAAATGCAAATAATTCACCTTTCTCACCCACTTGTTGTCTTGCCTGCTGAAGGAAGACAAGGTGTGCACACAAAATCATACTGAGTTCGATGATGCCAAACACAGAAGCATCAAGACCCTCAAGTTCTCACGGGGACCCCGTGTGGCCCAGTCCAAGGCTCAACACCAGAGTCCTCAAGGTCCCAGGAGCTCCGGCCACGTCAAGCATAGAAGTCCAGTAAAGAGTCTTTAAAACAGGATTCCCACCTGGAATTTCCTCCGGTCATCCCACGGAGCTGCATGGCCCAGCCTCCAGGAAGGAGAAGGAGCACACGTGCTACAACCCAGGGTGGAACACCGTGAGGTCTGTCCAGGGTGCCTGATGCCCCTCAGGGGAGAAAAGTCCCACACCACGCCCTTCCAGACCATCCCTTAAACCTGCACTTGAACTAGCCAGGACTGTGAGCAGGAAGCCATGAGCACTGGAGAGGGAGATGTCCTCAAAGTCACCTCACAAGCAACACCTCCTGCTAACTCAGGATGGCGTTATCTCACGGTGACACAAGGTGTCACACAAGGTGACACACAAGGCCTTGTGTGTCAGTGTCAGGCCAATCAACATGAACTTGGGCCCTCTCTGCATACCCTGGTGGCCTGGAGGGACACAAGGACACTTTCCACAGCTTTTTCATGTGCTCTAAGAAATCCACACCCATCGTGCTGGTCATTTCTTCAATGGTTCAAACACAGGACAGAGAATTCCCAGGAGAACAGGGATTGCTGTGATTTTTTTTTTTCACACGTTAACTTAGTTTTTTTTTCTTTTAAACCACAACTAAATAAGGATAGTTCACAGGCAGACAAAACCAATCAGAACCAAAGGAAATACATCCACGGAACAAACCACTTCACAGTTTGGACCAATTTCCCCACCCTGCCTTGGAGGCTGGGGAGTTCAATCTGGGGCCACTTATTTTCATAAGCTACAGATCACATAGCACTCTGTGTATGAGACACCACGTCTCAGATGATCTCAAGGACCCTGGGGTCTTTTCTGACTTCCCAAGCCAGGTCTGAGGTCTTTTACCAACACCTCAGGCTCTTCGTAGATCTACTCCAGCAAGTGCCAGCAGCACAAGGTATAAGAAACAAACACTGCGGCCCCATGATGAGCGGGAGCACACAGGCAGCTCACCAGGAAAACACCTCACATCACAGAACAGTCGTCCACAGAACCACCACTCAGACCTCAAGCCAGACCTTCCACCCGGGCAGTGACATGGATGCCACTGAGGCAGGCCCTGCAGGACTCTTCTTTCCAACAATTTCACAAAGTCCCCTTCCTTGCTGTAAAGAGAACTCAAATCCACCAGACCACCCTACCTCAAGAAACCTCACAGAACTGTGTTAGAAACGCCAACAGCTAGCATTTTTTTCCTCTTGGTAGAGAAAGAGGTAGTAAAGTTTCTTAGGGAAGGAATATACTTTCAATAGACTGAAAGCAGGTCATCTCTAGAGCAAGAATGAGAATGACAATTATTTTTACCCTGGCACCAGTTTTTATGGAAGTGCAATCAGCCCACATGGCTGAAGTCACAGTTAAGGACATGAAGCTAGGACAGGTCTATGGACATCCAGCAAGTCAACTATTACTGGTCTATGTGACCCCTAGGATATGGTTTACAGTCCTGGGTCTTTATTTTGTTAAGATCTCTGGTTCAGGAACTGATGTTAACCAGGGAGAATCAAAAGCATCTTGTGACATCCTGTGACCTTGGTGGGTTGTTTTGACCTTAACAGATGTTAAGGGTTGGAGAGTCTAGTTAGAATGGTTTTCTCTCAGAAGCCTGGAAGAATCATACGTTTTAGGTTCCCTTAGCATGTCCCCATCACTCATGGCTAACTGCCACCTAAGATCCCCCACTCAAGGGCTTGAGACTCTCAAATGTCTTACAGAACGGGAAGTCAAGGTCAGCCTTGCCTTTAGCTACTTCCCACTGCTATGGTGGGGGCACAGGCCTAGGTCAGGAGTCTCTTGTCCTCACTCTCTGTGGATGGGGACAGCTGGGATCTCTTGGAAGTCGTGACCAGCAGTATTTGTGTTTGCGGAGGAGGAGGTTATGAGAGTCAGCCCTCGAGCTGTATCATTTGTAGTTTTATAGCCACTCACAGAGCCAAGTCCTGATGTGGTAGATCTGATACCTGAGTCAAGATGTGATCCGAGTCACGGCACCAACAATTTCACTGTAAAGTCGGCACGGCATCCCACAAGCCAAGAATTTGGAGGAGAAACGGGAATGTATGAAAGTGACAGCCAAGCTTATTAGCAAAGGAATACACTTTCTGTACACTGAAAGCAGGTCATCACTGGAGGGAGACGGGGACCGACTACACAGCCAGCTGCTTACACAAGCAAACGGACCACAGGTGACCTGCGTCTCTTTCTAAAATCCTTCTCCACCTGCCCCCTCCTGCGAGGTCCTCCACAGAGCTAAGCTGCAGGCAGACGCACAGCCCGCCGGAAGTCCTCCCCACGTCAGCCTCACCTCCTGATCCCTCAATATCTGCTGGCATGAGGTGCACCCTCTCCCGCCCTGCAGGAAACACCAGGAGTCGCTGAGCGAGCTGTCGTCTGCCAACAAGACCAGACATTTCCTGTACACAGTACCAGAAATGTCACCCAAGATTCACTCTCCAGGTCAAACACAGGACGCCCAGATGCCTGACGCACAAGACCTCCAATCAATACATTTTCAGCGTAAGTATGTCCCAAATATTGCATGGGATACACTAATCCTTCTTTCTAAAAAAAGTATTCTTTGTTTATCTGAAATTCAAACTTAACCAGCCGTACTGTATTTTTATTTATAAATCTGGCAACCTTAACTCCCAAAGCACACACATTATTTGGATGAATTACTTTGAGCAAAGTACCACAGGAGTGAGACACAGTCCAAAAACATTTGCAGAGGCTGATAGGCACACAGCAACATTACGGATAAAAAGGAAAACATCCCGCACCTACGAGCAGCCCCGTAAATTTATGGGGCAGAGTGGAATGTGTACACGGGTGGTGATAAGCCAGGAGGGAGCCAACTCCACCGCCAAAAGACCAAACCACGGACCCCTGCTGACCAAATGCATGGACAAGGCCTTGCACGGCTGGGCTCTCTGTCCTTCCAGGCAGGCAAGGATCCTGGGACCTGGGCAGCCACTCCTTCATCGTTCCCTACACAGTCATCCCTCCTCTCCAAACCACTGCTGGGGCCTCCTGCTGTCCAGGGTGGGCTTCAGGGCAGAGTACACCTGAAGAGTGGCTGCACGGGGGCCCAGGGAAGGGAAAGGGCAGAAAAGGCATGGGAGGGACTCTCAGCCTCCACTGCTCCACCCCACTCTCCACCCCTAGTGCAATGGAGCCACACCTGGGCTCCTGCGCTGATTACTGATATAATCCTGGAGGAGTTTCTCTAACCCTCTAAACCTCAGAGTTCCCAAAGATATTCTGAGATGAATACTACTTACATCCTACCATTCTGTGCAGAAGGTTTCTAAGAAACAGACATAAAGCACCCATGACACGGAAACTCAGTGTAGGAGATAGTCAGCATTTCAAGTCAATGGAGAAAAGACTGGTGTTGAATAAACCAGGTTGTAAAAGCTAGGTATCAATACAGAAAAACGTGGGTCCAGCGCTGTGGCTCATGCCTGTAATCCCAGCTACTCAGGAGGCAGAGATCAGGAGAATCACAGTTCGAAGCCAGACCAGGCAAACAGTTCGTAAAACCCTATCTCAAAAAAAGCTATCACAAAAAAGGGCTGGTGGAGTTGTTCAAGGTGCAGGCCCTGAGTTCAAACCCCAGTACCAGAAAACACATGTATGTATATATTTAATAAATTTATATTTTATGTTTATACTTTGTGTCTGTGTATATGTGTGTATATATATATATATATATATACACACACATAACACATATACATATAAAAATAAATTTGGGGTGGCAGAATGGCTCATGTGCTAGAGTGTCTGCCTAGCAAGTGTGAAACCCTGAGTTCAAACCCCAGTCCTGTCAAAAATATAGAGAGAGAAATTTAAAAATGCCTCACAGAGTGCATGCAAGGCTCCACGTGATTATATAATAAAACAAGTGAATGTTTTTCTAAGTTGTGTGCAAAATTTAAAAAAAAAAAAAAAAAGAGGAAAACAATGGATAACTGACTTTTAAGAACTTCCACCATGAAAGGCTTTCTAAATTGGAAAAGACAAGTTGAAAAATTCAAGGAAGACGATCTGAAGCGTACAGAGTCAAGGACTCAAATCCACAATAAATAAAAAGTTCCTATAAATTAAAAAAGACAAACGCCACATTAGAAAAATATGCGAAGTCCAGGAAAAACTAACCAATTCAGGAAAGAAATACAAATAGGCCAGGCACCGTGGCTCATAGCTGTAATCCCAGCCACTTGGGAGGCAGAGATCAGGAGGATCACAGTTCAAAGTCAGTCTGGGCAAACAGTTCAGGAGACCCTATCTTGAAAAAACCCAGCACAAAACAAGGCTGGTGGAGTGGCTCAAGCGGCAGAGCACCTGCCTAGCAAGTGTGAGGCCCCGAGTTCAAACCCTAGTACACCAAGAAAAATAAAAGAAAGACACAAACAGCCGGTAAACATGAGCTACGCGGCCACAGAAAAATGAAATTGCGGACAATTAAAATTTCCACTTTCTTCTTCCCGACAGGCCACTTGACAAAGCTTAGGAGTCCGGGGATGACGGAGGGCTGACAACGTCCACGGAAGCCCACGGGCTGTGGCAGTGTCTGTCTAAACCCTGAAAACCGGCCGCGACAGACTGCCAAGCGCCCCACGAGCAACGACAGGGGCGGGGCTGCCTGGGCTCCACCCGTGTGAAAGGCTGGGACAGCCTGAACCTGCCCACGGGCGGGCGGGTAAAGCGGGGGGCCGGGTTACAGGCCCAAGAGCAAGGCAGGGACGGCCAGCACGAAGTGTCCAGAGACACGGTGACTGGGAGAAGCTGAGGCACCCACGTGACCTAAGGGTCAAGCCCAGAAAAGGACCGGCACACGCACTCTTTCTGAGGTGGGCAAGCGTGTTCCAGAGACCCGAGGGGACCCAGAGTAAAGCTCTTGAGGCGGTGAGGCACGTGGACAGAGGACATCACTTTGGTTGCCTGGACTTGGTACACATTCATGAAAGCCCTGTACATTTTCCAAAAACTGGCCAGGACTCTACAGCCAGGAGCAGTGCTTGGCGTGGGTCCAGCCTGGAAAGGTGGGTCCCAGGGTCCCAGTGTGCCCCCACAGCAGTCCCCAACCAGGCTGACGGATGAGCACGGGTGGACTCCAGGCCCCAGGCCGCCTCGCCTCCTTCTCACCTGCAGGGCGGTGTGCACAGGCAGTGGGGGGGAGATGGGACACACTTGTCGTAAGGCAAGAAGAAGGGGCAGGGGACCCCAGCCTTGTCACAGAAGACCCTGCCCCAGCACAGAACAAGCTGAGAAGTGGCAAATTCAGACGGAACCCAGGCAGTAAGCCTTAGGCTGCCCAGACAAGGAAAGAGCCAGGTCAGCTGCTATGGCGGATGCTTGGGGAGCCTTCCTGGCCTAGAGACCCTGTGACTCTAGGATTGTGTCTCTGACACAGGGCACAGAAAAGATGACAAGCTCAAGTACACTGTGAGAGCCACAGCCCCAAGATGTACTGAGGAAATGTCCCCAGCCCCCAGGGTGCTCAGTGTCCATTCTGACGGGGGGGTTGGAAGGAGGGCACGAACAGAGGTAAACATGACTTAGGAAGGGGACCACCAAGGTCACTGTGGGTGTGAAGGGTGTGGGTGACAGAAAAAACAGCTTCGGTTCCTCACTCCAGGAACACACGCTGAGCTCGCAGCTCTGCACACCACCCCAAAGACCAATGGCAACCGCCCCAAATCATCAGACCTTTACATCCAAAGAAAAAGACCTTTGGAAAGCAAGATGGCTGGCTCTGGATGGAAAATACTGGTATTAGAAGACCACAGGAACCTGAAGCAGGCCAGACGCTTCTCAGATTCAACCAAGACAGGTCTGCATCTGCCATCCTCCGTGCTCCTACCTCGCCCGCCCTTCTGTGACTGGACTCAAGACACGGGAAGCTTGGGTCCTGGTGGAGAAGCCACTTCTGTTCAGAGCCCAGCCAGTACCTGCAACTGCTTCCCTCACACCTCGTCTTCAGGGGACACATTTATCTGCCCGTTGACTCTTGGGATACTTCCTTCCCAGGGCACGCCTGCAAGGCCGGGTGCGACTTGACCTCACCTCCCTGCCATCAGTTCGAAAAAGGCAATGCCCAGTAACGCTTTTCAAAGTCAGAGTGTTCAATCCACACCACTCTTGCCATCTTGTAAGAGCATACAAAGCGCTCTTATGAATGCTGTAGCTTAAAAACAGTAAGATGACTGATTACTTTTAAATCAAAAGAAATATGGTAACAAGAAGTCAGACTACAAACCTGCCATCACTTCATCAAAAATGCTCTCCAAGTGTTCAGTCTGATTAATGAACTCTTCCGATGGCATTTCTATTGCTGGACTTCTCTATGTACAAAAAAAACCCCAAAACCCTGATTTTATGATTCTAAAGGCAGCTTCCCTTGTCATCAAACGCTGGACATTTAATTTATAACCTTCTACAGGATGGCAAACTCATCGGCCCAAATTACGCTTTCACAGGACACATTTCAATAACCAAGTAGGTGAGTCAATGAAAACAGTAAGCACATTAAAGTTAGAAAGCAGTTTATTCACGAGGTTGGAAGATTACTCTGGAGTTGAAAGAAAGAACAGGAGCAACCCAGGTCTGGCACATCTTCACAGGAGCAGCTCTCAGCCCAGAAGTCTCACTTCTCTGAAAACACTTCCTTCAGCTCAAAGGCTTCCTCAGTGAATAGAGCAGGAGACGAACCTCCTCCACCCGGGCGGTACTAACTTGGCCAGTCACAGACCAGGTAAAATTCCAGGAAGGCAAGTAGTTTTCTAACCTTTAATCCAGAGATCAACATTCCGCATGTCTTTTAGTTCTAGTAAAATAATAGCTCTAAAACTGTCGTCATTTTAACATGCAACACCTTATGCAAGCTACACATGCAAACAGTAGATCCTAAGAAGCCCTCGTGAAAACTGGTCTCAGACCAGACCCAGCACACAGGAAATTATCTAAACACCAAAAAAAAAAAAAAAACATTAAACTTACATATGAAAACTTAAGAACTCGTACCACAGATGAACACACAAGATACTTATCAAATAAAATTTAAACACTTCTCATTTAAAACAAAGTCCAAACTTACTAAATAATTTTATGTATCCACATGAAAACACAGACCACGAAGGAAGAAACCAGTGAGCTGCTGGCTGCTTTCAGAGCTGGAGGACCCGGCCTACCCAAGCTTCAATAAGGACTTCCCACCCTTGAAGGAGGAGGTGGGCAAAAGGTGGCTCAGGGCAGTGCCCAGGCACCAGTCTTCAGTGGGTTCAGGCTGATGATACCGGGACGGGCCACTGTTCTGGGCAGCACCCAAGTCCAGGGCTGGGACAAAGCGAACAGTCTGAGCACTCCTTCCAGCGCAGGCAGGTGGAGAGCCTTCACAGCACCGCTCACTCCTGCGGCCAGCAGCCCTGGGCGGGAGGCCATGCAGCCACCAGGACTGCGCCCCTGTGCTCACGCCTGCCCTGCCAGCAGAAGCCCTCGGCTCTGGGCTCTGGGCTTGCTCAGGGGAGGCTCTCAGGTCTTCCCACAGCCTCTGATCTCGGCAGGTCACGGGCAGGGCCTCTGTCTACTGAGCTGGGAAACACCCCACAACTGAACGGCCTCCTCCCAACAAGCCTGCCTGAACTTGCCTGAGGTCTGACAGGGACTGTCCAAAATCAGACACGCCTGGGCTACTTGCTGCTCTGGTCCTCGGTAATCACAGGTCAGCAACAAAAGGCCCCAGCACAGGATGTGCAGGGTGGGAAAGCTGACATCTTGGAGTCCTGATTCCACAGCCATGAGCACCTGCCCCTGCCCCCAGATGGGGGGCACACCCAAGTGAATTTTCCCTAACTTTAGAGCCACTCCTGTCATGTCATCAGTCATTGTGCTGATGTCACGCACGATGACAAGATGAAGACAGCCAATAAAAATGACCACTGAATGTTTTCGACCACTGTGGGCAAAATCCTCCCCGACTGAGTAAGATCACAGTAAAGGCGGAAGAACCGAATCCATTTAAACGGAGGCTGACTCCTGGAGACTCATCACTGTGCTTCTGGACATCAAGGCCAAGGGGATGGAGTCCGCCTCCAATGACACTGGTGACATGCAACACGGGACAGATGAGGCGGGCCTTAATGCAAAGACTTCTGGGAAGGCTGGGAACAGGGAGGCCATTCTGCCTGACAGCGAGCAGGCTGAAGGGGACACAGTAGAGAGGAACAGGACCATCCCACTGTGCACAGGCTTACAGCAGGCAGTGGTAATGCCTGAACACCACCAAGCTCTGCCTGCACAGAGAGCGTCCCCGGGTGGGGCAGAGGGCGGTGGGATTGTTTCTGTGCCTTAAACAAATGTCAGAGTTGGAAGAAGTACAGGTGCCATCAAATGTGTTCCAGCTCAGACAGAAGACCCACCACAGAACCGAGGCAGCAGGTGTCTACACATTGGTGAGGTAGCTGAAACATGTCCAGACAGCTCTGCCACCAAGTACCACCTCAGGACAATGGGTGCCATGGCTCTGAGCCACCAAGTATACACACTGTCACTTCCCCAGGCCAACCAAGTGCATGAAATGGCCCTTGGCTACACCCGGCCAGGGCAGAGCATCTGCTGCTCCTCCTGCTGCCCCGTCGCTTCTTCCAGCTGATTGGTAACTGGTGGCTCAAAGGGACACCAGGATGCACCTCTTCACAACGCTTCTGTGGCAGTGACCAAGGTCGCTCACTCCACAGAATGTCATGTTTCATGGTGAAAAGAACCAATTAGTTGTTTCTATTTCCATCTTACAGATAAAATCTACAAAGACGACCCCTTCCATTTCAAGTCAAGGAGTAGCAAGGAACAAGTGCAAGTCTGATCTGGGGTTAGGGTTCATACCGATTCTTCATGGCAAATCAGCAAAGGTGACATTTAACCACAGATAAGCACCAAAAACTGCTGCTGGATCACCCACTTAGTAAACCAAGGGAAATGACGTCCAGAAGATCAAGAACACAAAGAACCACCTCAATTCCCGGATGCCAGAAGTTTTCTCAGGTAAAAGTACAGCACAGACGGAGTTCACTGGGATGTCACATAGATCTGAGCTCTAACTTCAACTCTGCCACCACAGGCAGGACTCTCAGGAAAGCAGCATCCCTGCCGTCCCTCAATTTCTGCAAACATGTCCTAACAGAAAATTGTAACCAGCACCCTATGGACGTCCTATGAGAATTTAAAATACCTTACATGTTTAAAGAGCAAGGTTGTTTTAGAAGCAAAAGGTGAGTGTTCTGCAAAGCTGGGAGCATTTAAGGAAAAGGGCAGAGAAAAGCGTGCTGAAGACCAGGTTTCTTTACAAAAGCTGCCATTCCAGAGCCCCAAGCCAGACCCTATAAACCAGGGTGGCCTTAGAGTAGTTACATCGTGTGGCCATGTGACATGGCTGCTCCCCTAAGAGCAGCGTGACTCGGTCACTTAAGTGTAAGCTAGACACAAAACAGTGCTGCTAGGTGCACAAAGCCTGCACTGTGAGAAGGAAAGACACTACAAGGAAAGGGACTTCTGAGACCTACCAGCTCCTCAAAATTTATGCTGCTGTTCTGCTATAGATTTCTCCCTCCTTTCAATACACCACAGTCTCCTATTTTTCTCTGTGGTCAACTCTCTGTTGAATTCAAATATGGTATGCATACATAATTATATAATCATGCAGGTCTATATAAATTTCACAAAAAGTTACTTACAGAGAAATTACGCAGTGTTTGTAAGAAAGAACAATGGTCTCCAAATCTGATGAACCCAAGGGGAAAGAGAAAAAGAAGAGTAAACTCCACTTTCAGGTGGAAATGCATTGGCCCTCCCAGCTCTGGATGCAAAACACACCCCTGGGTCAGCTCACCACGAACCATTTGACCCCAGCATGATGATGGGAGGAGGCTGGACAGCTTTTCCACCTGGTAACAGCATGTCTCCTCAAAGTGGAAAAAATTCATTGCTAGCCTACTATTTTATCCAGCGTGCACTCCTCAAAGCAGATTATTATTCAAACATAACCGGCAAAATCCACAGTTGTAAAAAGAGAAGCAAGAATTAAACTTCTGAAAAGCCAAGCAGGGATTACAGAAACGCCTTTGTGTTTGCATTTCTGTGGTCTCCGTGCATCTGTGGACAGCAGACCCCAGACAACTTAGGTGTACTGTGCAGAATTATACAAACAGCGTTTAATACAAAACACCGTTTAGTAAAGGGTAGCCATGTCAGCCGTCCTGAAGACGTGCACAAGGGTGCTCTTCCTCATGACACAATACAGACAGCTCTGTCCACAGGCTCTGATTTCTCTGTTCTCCAGCTTTCACATATAAGGAACACTCACAGGAGTGAATGCAAGGAGAGAACACCCCATCACCAACAAACCTTCTACTCACAATTACCCAAGCAAAAATAACAAAGGACATACTGAAGTGTTTAGCATTTATAGAAAGTAGGACAATGATGAAAACAAAGGTAGCCAGGTGTCTTGAGATACGTATGTGGCTGCTGTTGGGAATGTAATCTGTTCTAATGAACTGTCTCAAAACCCACAGGGTTGTTTGAATCCGAGGAGATTAATTATAACTGTACACCGATTCTAAGCTACCCTGCAGCCCAGCTGTCTGGTGTAAAGAGAGAAGAGCACAATCGTGTGGGTGCTCACGTCTGAGGTGTCTGTGTCTGGAGGCACGTGTGTGCAAGTGTGGAAACTACACATATACAAGTGTGCTTGTATGTGCACGAGCAAGTGTGTGTGCACACGTCTGGGGTGACTGCAGACGACATGCACGTGTGTGGTGATGTGTATGCACAGTGACCCTGGGTGTACGCTTGTGCACGTTTGTGTGTTGTATGTCTATGTGTTACATGCATTTGCATGCAAGTGCACGCCTGGTGTGTGTGTGTGTGTGTGTGTGTGTGTGTGTGTGTGCATACATCATACTGTATGGTGAGAGTTGGGTCTGGGACAGAAATGGAAGAGGGGCACATCTCAGAGGGTCCTTGTTCTGAAGTTACAGAGAGACCACAGACTCCAGAGGCCAAAGGTGTGAAATTCTACAGTGCATGCAGGTAAATAACAAAGGAGGAACAGTGGAGCTGACAGGCAGCTGTGTCCCCCATCCCCACCCCACCCCACCCAGCACAGGCCAGGTACAGGATATCTGGAGGCCAGGCACGGGCTGCCTGGGCGCCAAGTCTCCAGGACACTGGGCCACCTGACCCCAGGCTACTTGAACCTGCTCCACCGGGGCCACCCACTCACCTGGTGCAGGTTCAGGTACAGTCTCTTCACTGCTGTCATCCGCAGCCTCATCAGCCAGGCCCGAGCCCGGGGAGTCAGTGATGGCGCAGGCTGAGCCAGGGCTGCTGGGCTGGGAGGCCGAGTCCCCCTCGCTGAGCGAGCCGCAGCGGGCACATGCCGCCCTGTCCCCATGGGCGTCCCTGTCTCGGCGCGCACGGCGGTGCACACGCGAGTGCAGCACCATCTGGTGATAGGTGCGGAAGATCTTGCCGCACTCGAAGCACTCAGAGGACTTGCTGTGACCAGCAGTGGCCGCAGCTCTACGGCTAGGACGTGCAGCCGGCCGGGGGTCGAGGTGGCCGGCCAGGATGGGGTCTCCAGGCATGCCGGCCCTCTTCCTGGGTGGGGCCTGTGTGGCCGGCGCGTCCTGTTCGCGCTTGCGCTTCTCCTGGCTCACCAGGATGTACTCGCGCCTATCCTTGTCAAAGGCCACGTCCCCAGCCAGTGCCTCGTCCCAAGCCCCATACTTGAGGTACTCAGCGGGCTCAGCCACCTTGCCCCGGGTGGCCAGCTGCCAGGCCTGGTAGCTGTTGACAGGGTCGAGCTCGGCCACCCGCCGTCCAGCCTGCCCACCGGGAGACACGTCAGCAGCCACGGATGGTCTCAGGTTGAGGCACTGTAGGAAGAACTGCTTGGTGTCCAGGGGGCCCTCTGCGGCCCCCTCCTCGGCCGGGGCTCGTGTCCGGCTGGCTTCGACCTTGCGGTGTATGGCGTTGTGGGCGTTCAAGCTGTCCAGGTTTGTAAACAGGTTCCCACACTTGGTGCAGACTTCATAGAGGGACAGGCCGGCGACGATGACCTCCTCCTGGACCACGTTGTTGATGGTGGCGATGGGATCCAGCTCGCTCTTGGGCCGGTTCTTGCTCCCCGTCTTGGGGCCGTGCGCCTTCATGTGGTTCTTAAGGAACCACGGCTCTTTGAACCTCCGGCCACAGATGTGGCAGCCATGGTCGAAGGAGCCCCGGTGCTTCTTCATGTGCGCCTTCAGGAACCAGGTCTGGCTGAAGGCCTGGCCGCACACCTCGCAGGGAAACTCCCCGGGGCTCAGCTCAGGCTTGCCGTTCTCCACGCAGGCCTCACCGCCATTGGGCACCTGGGCGGTGATGTGGTCCCTCTCGATGTGGTTCAGCAGCGACTCCTCCCGCAAGGTCACGAAGCTGCACAGCCTGCACTTGAAGGGCTTGTGCGCCTGCTGCACGTGCAGGTCCAGGTCCTTCTTGCGCTCGAACTGGCTCTTGCAGAAGGAGCACTGGGCCCCGGCCTCGGCCTCGCCGTCGTTGTCCTTGCGGCTGCTCCGCAGGAGGATCTTACTGCTGTCCACGGGCGCCGCCCCGTTCAGCACGCGGTTGCAGGCCGACGTGCTCTTCGTGGGGCTGGCGCACCCGTCCAGGCCCTCGGACACACCCAGCTCCCCCAGCTGCGCCTCGCCCGCCTCCGCCTCCTGCCCCTGGATCAAAGTCCCCGTGCGGTGGCTCCGGATGTGAATCTTGAGGTTGCCCTTCTGGGAAGCCCTGTGGTCACAGTAGGGACACTTGTAGGGCTTCTCCCCCGTGTGCTTGCGCATGTGCTGTGACAGGGAGCTCTGGAAGGGGAAGCTCTTGCCACAGATGCAGCAGCTGTGACACGCAGTCTTGTCCCCGTCCACCTCGTGGCTCCTGCCAGCCCGGGGTGGACTGGGCCCTCTCCTCAGCTCCATCTCGGCCTCTCTGTGGCGATCCATCAGGGCACTGGCAGCACAGCTGTCTGTCTCACGGGCCTGAGCAGGGGACGTCTTATCTCTCCATCCTCAGGGGGACTTCTACAGCCCGGAGACGAGAGATGTGCCTGAGATGAGGAAGTGCATAGTCTAGTAGAGCATGACAGACGGCAGCAAGCACCTGGAACAGAGAAGGAAACGCATGAGCACAGCATCCCGTGTAAACGACAGCACAGTGACGTCATCCAGCACACTCCACCGCACTAGTTATCGGTCCAATCCAAACTCAAGAAAAATGGCCGGGCGCCAGCAGCTCACGTCTGTAATCCTCACTACTCAGAAGGCAAAGATCAAGAGGATCATAGTTCGAGGCCAGCACAGGCAAATAGTTCACAAGACCCTATCTCAAAAATATCCAATATTAAGAAAGAGCTTGTGGAGTGGCTCAAATGGTAGAGAGTCTGCCTAGCAAGTGTGAGGCCCTGAGTTCAAATCTCAGTACTAAAAAAAGAGACAGGAAGAAAAGGACTCCAACAAAAATTTAAGCAGATGAACACTGTGTGCCTCCTGAAATATCAGTCATTAAGCCAATTCCTGGCAATCAGTTGTACTGATCAGTTAAAATAAGCAATTATGACTTTTTTCCCCAAAAAAGACAGAGGATCTTTAAGGGAATACTACAGGAACAGGTCTGCAGGAGCATAGAGAAACACAGGCCACCCTCAAGGAAGATGTGTGGGACATGAGGGACACAGCGAGGGAGGACAACGGGGGTGGCCAGGCCCTGAGTCATGCACAGTGAGCTGCAGAGGCACTGATGGCTGTGCACAGCAGGTTACTGACCATATCACCTGTTAAGATATTCAGGAGCCAGGTGACTGAGTAAAGGAATGAGAACGGGGTGCAGAAATGACCCGAGCTCCTGTGGAAGGGGCTTCAGGGACCCAAGGTGGCAGCCACCCTGCTGGGGCCACATGTACTAGTACTGACCATGAGCTCGGATGCAGACCACGTCACCACGCCTCTCTGGCCTGCCCATCATGCTGTTCCTTTCCAGGACCCCCAATCCACATGTCCCCAAAGGAAAGAGCCAGGCTCCACCGCAGGACCAAGTTCTCTTCCCAGTTCAGAGTTGCTCCCGCCCCCCCACAAGGCTGTGCAGTCTCGTCCTCAGCGGGTCAGGCTCCCACAGGGCCCACCCACCTACTTAGGCAGACTGGCACTGTCCCCAGAGGTGATGCCTGAGCCCTGGGTACTGCACACATTGTCACATTGGATGATCACTCCGCCTTCATGCCCACGGCCCACCAGAGAGAAAGCAGGCCCATCCCTGAGTCCCTCCTTCTGGTGACAGCCAAAGGCCAGCCTGTCCCAGGTGGCCCGTGTCCAGTGCAGAGCAAGCAAAACTGGGGATGCACCTCATACACCCTCAAGTTGAATTTAAAAGAGGCCAGAACATGAAGATCTGCTGCGTGTGCCAGGTTTGAGTCACTCAGTGTTTCACACCTGTCTTCTATTCAAAGATGGAGGGTCTCTTCCCAGAGCCTCGGGTGGCAACTCCCCGCTTGCTGTGGGTGATCCATCCTGGACCTTCTCACTGAGACGGGTGCGGAGCAGAGCCCTGACAATCAAGCAGGGGTGTGCATCTGCAGCTGTGACAGAAGCATCCCCCAGCACCCTTCCAGGGACTGGGGATTCTGGGCACAGCATGGCCACAAACACAGCACCAGTGGGAGTCTGTCAGTAGACAGTTACAGGCTTTAAAACGCCCCTGTGGGAAGCCCCTCCTACCAGTTTCCAAGGAAGGGAAGGAAACCCTTGCAGGCTAAGCAGCAAACTCCCCAAGAGGCAGTGCCTTCCTGGTGACTCCACAGATGCACACTGCCCAGGCACTGAGCCAGAAGAGAAAAGCAGAAATACAAACTTCTCCTCAAATTGGATAAATAACAGGTAACCAAGACCCTGTCTTAGTAACAGTTTATGCTAAGCAAATTTAAATTATTTGGCCAAACTTTTTTGGTCTTGGCTCAAGTTTTGGATGTCTGTGTAATTATTCATAATGATTTAATAAAACAAACGATTTGCATAAAGTATTAGTTAAACATATCAATGATCAAATATAGTATTATAAAAATCTTTCAAGTTTAAAGAACCATATAGAAATGTTTATGAAAAAAAATCTAAATCCTGGACACTGATGAGTCTGAAGTAATGTCACGACTCCCTGTGCAGCTAACACATGGCCACAGTGGACGTAAATGTCACACACTTCTGCAATTCAAGCAGAGTAAGAGCCCTGATCAGGCGGAGGCCAGAGTGGTGGCTCTCGGGTACACGTGGAAGTGCAAGTGAACTCGAGTGAAGACAGACAGGTGAACTCTGAGCTATGTCTCTGCCTCCCGCAGCTGGGGTGTGACATGGAGACCCCACCTCCCCCAGCACAGCACAATGGGCCATGTCCTTCATCAGGTGGCCTTGCCTGTCAGGTGGCCGCCCGAGTGGGGAAAGGACATAAGCAAGGGCATGCCCAGGACC